TTCAGGAAAAAAAAAATATATCTATTCAATGACTGCAGTATGATATGTAGCCCCAGCTAGGTGCTACTTTATAGGATGCGTAAAGTTAGACTTGTGTTCACGGAAATGTGTGTGTCACCTGTGTTTGCTATACGAGTATTTGGATTGATTAGGGTCTTTGGTGATTCAATAAAATGTGGGGGGAAAACAGTATAGAAAGCAAACATAGATACCGGAGACAGTGTGGGAGGAGAGTGGAATATGGCAGAGGGCAAGAGATAGGGAATCAAGGATGGGGGGAAAAAAGCAAAACATACAGAAAACAAGAAATGGAAGATCATTTGCTGACAATAACATGTTCGTTGATGTGCTTAATTAAGACTCTGGATGGAAAATCTTATTTTGTATGCTGTAATGATGTACAGTGAATGAATGCAAATAAATAAATTGAAATAAAAAAAAAGAAACTGGTTTATCTTAAGGTCTCTTTATAAGTTTTAAATATGCTTACTTTATTTTGTTTGTTTGTTTAACTTTATCCACCCACTCCTTTTATGAGCAAGTGAAGAGCAAGAAATTGACAGCATCCTCAATAAGGCCTGGACATTGTGATCCAACTCCACCAGATCCATATAATGAGCACGTGAGAATCCTATATACTTACAACATCTCTGGAGAGGAATCCAGACCCCTCCCACATGAGTTAACCTCACAGAGCATCAGGTTTTACTGCTCCACCACTGTCTAGCCCAGCAGTTTTATACACTGGTCTTTATCTCTTTCAAGTTCCTTGTATGGCCTATTATTGTTTGCTATGGTGTATTGTTAGAATAACAGTTAAAATATTTGGAAAACTTTTTAAATTCCAAATTTAAGATAGAACAAATTAACCAGAACCTATATGTAAGCCAATTTCAGTATCTTTATTTATGCTGTGAAATAAAAGTCAAATCACAAAAGTCATTATTTGTGTCTATCAGAAGTTTTCCGTAAATATAAAACTCAACTTGAAATTACTAGCACAAATCTTAATATCTACACTACACTTATCCAGTTTTCACAAATGAGGATTGGAGCAGGTCGGGGGAGTGAGAAAGCACCCCCGGGGATACCATGCCACGGTCCTTT